AAGGACTAAGTTGCAGAATACAAAGATCATTATGTTTTCTGTCATACTGGAGTGAAAATAAGACCACTTTATCCAAATGTGCTACACCAGAATGTGAGACAAATATGATACTGTTTTCTGCCATCAGTAAGACATGAAACACATGTGGGATTAATAATCTGAATAAGTCTTTTTCCTTTGATCTTCATAAATGTTTTATAGTCTTCAGTCAGAACTAAATGCAGTGCTGGTAAAAAAATACTGAACTTCAGCTTCATTCCATCCAAATTTCCTGCCCTTCAGTCCTTTACACATTCCTTTATATATATATATATACCTAAAGTATTTACTATATCAATACTGACCTACCTGAGTGTGTGATATGTGATCATGGCTGATTTGAAGGTTTTTATTTTACTTTTTCTTTTGATCTTTATACTTTTATGCAGAATTTCTACTTTCTGTCCCTTTGTCACTCTATTTCAGAACAGAAATTTGAAAGGCTGTATCTTAATAAAAAAAAATTAATATGATCTAAAATGCATTGTTTTTTCCTTCAGGTAACTGGAGATCCAAATGTGTATGCAGGGAAGATTACAGTTAAAGTGTCACTTAGGTTTCCTGTTAAACCTCTCTCTAAAGAAGAGCAAAGGTCCTATGAAATTTTGAAAAACATCGAGCCTGAACAGAGTGCAGAACCAATCTACAGCATCAGACCACAAGCCTTCATTCCCCCAGATGGTTTTGATCTTCGTGACACATCTCCTCCAGGAAGTTGTAAGGCAAGGTGAGGAACCAGAAGTAGTATTGGCAGGAGTTATCCTGTAGGAAGTCCACTCCACTCTTAGTTATGTGATTAACACTTCATCATATTAGATTTCAACTTGATTTATATTTGTGATAAAAGGGGCAGTAAGCAGAAATAATGAAAGACCATTCAACTGCTAAACAGTATAGTATAAATTTATAACTACAAGGGAACTTAGCAATAATGAAGGTTGCAAAAGCTCTCTGAAGCTGTGACTTTTCACGTTTTACATATTACTGATATTTTCAGATATCATGGTTTTGGTCAAATAGCATTTGAAGGATTTCAACACCCCAACTTCATTGGAGCACATATCATGGTGTTCAACAATGACCTGCTTGGAGTTGCCTGGATTACTCTGGAATCATTCAGCCTGTTTCGACGTGTTGAGAATACTTTTACCCAAAATATCCTGCCTGATCTTGAGAGCGCTTTATAAGATGGAAGAAAGATACATTTGTTGAACCCCACTTTCACCCCATGCTGGATATGTGAGCATGTGTGATTTTTTTTTTTTCTTTTCTTTTCTTTTTTCTTCAATCTGCCCTAGTTGTTCTTTAGATATTTGTTGGCTTCTTCATCTCATGCCTTTGATGTACAATAATTATGGTTTACTTTTAAATAGCAAAGAAACTTAAATCAGTGGTAAGAGTAATGTGTTTGTATTAATGACATATTATCTCCCAGTTAAAGATAGTTATGAAATCTTTTTATTTGATTATATATTTCATCTAACTGTTAAATACTTTTTGGAATTTTGTAAGGAAAAAATTCAGTTTGTTTATGATTGGTTACAAAAAAAATAGTAGACTTATTTGAATGTTTGGAATTTTTCTTTATTCAGGGTTCATGTATGTTATTTGAATGGTTGTAGTTTTTTTCTTTATTCAGGGTTTGCTTATATGTTATTTGAATTGTTGTTTTTTTTTATTCAGGGTTCACTTATAATATGTGCATCTCAAGCAGACTCAAGAATGTTGTGATATGGCCTTAATTCATACTCAATAAAACCTTAACACAAGTACCTATTATAAGTGTGTTTATTATTTCTTGTGTGTAGCTCTTGGAAAACCAAATATAGACTGTAAGATTATTTACAAAGACTCTAGATTTCTGCAATAAGACATAATTGGAAGAACTGGCTGATGTTGGAGAGCAAAAGGGAAGCAAGAGGTTTTAAAAGGGGAGGGGGATAGACATGAAATTTTCATTTACTTCAGGGAATGATGATGCATAGAATTTGAAGCCATATTTGGTTAACTGTTTTTGTTAACCAGTTGGAATTATCCCCAGGGAGTAGCTGGGGGGGGGGGGGACAAGTGTCACTTTGAAGGAGGCAGTTCTCCATTCCAGTTGCTGATCCACCACTGCATCAACTCCATATTTTTTCTTTACTTTCTTCTTTCTCCTTTTTTTATAAAATAATGTAAAATTCATTTGGATTTTTTTTTTTTCTAGATAACAATAATATTCTGTGATTCCTTTTAACAACATGCAGAATGTTTTTTCAATATTTTTTATAGGTCAAAAGGTACCCTCTCTTTCTTAGTTTGGTCAGTAGGATTAGGTGTAGGGGATACTTGAAGCATGTTCAGGAATTCTTCAGGAGTACAGAATCCAGCACTTGTGATCTTTGAACTATTAGTAGTAACTCGAGCACAAAATTTGCAGAGTAAAACAAAGTAGAAGCAATGGTGATATGCATCACTTAAAATTGTCCACACAAAAATATTGCAGCACATGCATTTAAAAGCTAAACATATTTCATTCATGTTGTTATTTTTTCACATATGATAGCATTACAGTGAATAACTTAAAAAATAACTGAATGCGATTCATATGTGAATGACAGAATGTTATTAATCTGTTTGTGGAGATGAAAAGATTGTGTTGCCCTTTTTTGTGGAAGCGTGTGTATACATGTGTGCATAATATTGTTTGCACATTATAATTTTTCATAAATATCTTTTTTTATTTGCCCTCTCTTAATTGTAAAGCTTTAACCCAGTGCAACCTGAAACACATAATAGTCATTGGAGTTGTTTTGTAAAATGTGTTCACAAAGAGATGCTTCAACAAGTGCTCAGCTAACAAGGAGCCGTGATCTTACCTAATTTCACCTGTCCTCAAGTTTTCAGGATTTATTTTTATTATTATTATTAATTTTGTTGCTGTTATTATCATTAATGACATTCTGATTATTATATTATTAAAAATAATGGCAATAGGTCATTAGAATTCACATTGATTAACAGACACAAATAATTCTTATGTCAAGAGCCTGCCTCATGATCAGAAAATGTAAAGAATATATACACAAATATATTGATTACAATCTCATGAGAGTAGTATTTACTACCAGAAAAGTCATGTGTTCACCAAATATTTGCAAATTAAAATAGTGCATTGGAAAGCTATAGGGTAATGTATTAAATTTTATATTGCTGCTATTGTGAAACATGTTTTCTGTTGTATTATAGTGTACTTAAACAAAATATATTAGGTAACTGCAAATTCAGCATTGGTAGCATGTTTGGCACATTAGCAGTGTTGCAAGATCACTTTATCACACCCATGATGCACAAACATAGAAACACACAATTATCATTACAACTGTAACCCCAGCAAATGAAATGCCCCCAGTTACCTGCTTTAAAAATGCCAACACATGGGTGATTTACCCATTAAAGGTGCACACTTACAAACAGAAATACATTGTGCTAATGAAAAAGTTTAAGATAATTGTCACTAACTAATGTAAGAAAGCACCAGATTATTTGTTAACATATGTCAAATACAAATATAACTATAGGGACTAAAAATACAATACATCTATTAGATATTAATCAAGCAATACCAGAATTATGGTAAAAAAATTAGGAATAATTTATAGGCATTGTTCAAAAACTCCCATATACCTAACCATATAAACTGGTATTTTATGCTATTTTTTAAGTACTCTTGATACTGGTAATCCTATTTTGGAGAAATGTTCTTTCTCTAAGAAATTCCATCTATTGGGCCCATGTTTGTATTTTTTATCTATGTTTGTTTAGCTCTGTTATCAGTATTATTTATCATTATTTTTTCATGTAATAATCAATTGATAGTGATTTGCAGACATCAGGATAAAGCAAGTTACAAGTGGAAAAAGAGGTAACTAGAAATGTCAACCAATATTTATATCTAAACATACAGATATGTTATCCTTCACAGAATATTTTACCAGTGTGGAGAATAAAGATTATGAAATTTGCCTCAAATCTCAAATTTCCTGCTTATACATACATTATATAATATATATATAAATATATATATATATATATATATATATATATATATATATATATATATATATATATATATATATATATATATATATATATATATATATATACGTACCTGTATATTTATATTTTTTTCAAATAATAAATTTCTTTTATTTTTTAACATATTTGGCATACATATTTTTTACTGTAGCCAAAGAAGTTAATACACATAAAAAAGATTAATGAAACACAAATGTGAGTTGCAATATTTAATTGAGTTACAAAAAATCAGGTGTAAAAAATTATACAGATAGAAAAAATTATTTATTCATGATTTGTTCAGAGAGTATAATAAAAACTATAAAACTGGTGTGTGTATGTATTTATGTACATGCATGGTTCTTTTTATTACTGGAAACTTCTACAATCAAAATGGATTTGTGCAATATATGAAGTTCCTATCCACTTTGCAATTTCATACCATGATCAACAATCTTATTTAAAGTGTATTAAATTCAAATACCATGTGGGTGTACTTATTGCCTTTGCCTCATATCATGACGACATTATCTCTGACCTGTTATCCAAGGAATAACACATGAATATTCTTTTCTTATACAGTTAACACCTTGTGAATATGTTAAATGAGATTGGAATGTGAGGTACCTGCATCACTGAACCTTCATCTGGGTCTGTTACAATTATATACATATATCAGTAGAAAAAATACATAAAAAAGGCTAAGCCCAAGTTTAATAACTACAAGGAATGTCTATGGATCTCCTTTCAACTCATTTCATAATGTACAATTCTCTAAACACATGAACATAACTCCATATGTTCAATTTATATAAAATAGATTTATCAATTTTATTGTTCAACAATAAAATGATCAAACTACTCATCTTGCAAGTATTAAAATCCTTTCAGAGATGAGCAAAAGAAACTCAACTCCTTTAGGAAAACAATCAATGTAAAATAACTTTTAAATTATGATAAAATCAGACACTCTTCACAAAACTCAATGATAAAACCCTTCAACCTTCAAAATCAACAATATAAATATTTTTGGTCACTCTCTACACTGTGCAGTAAAATTTTCTTTATGCCTTACAACCAAACATCACACTGGAAACAATTGCACTTCCCAGGATTATTACACCATTGAGAAAACTTTCACTGTCCTTGAAACCGTGGAACAGAATAACTTGTGGAATACAGTTGAGTCCAATTATTCCTCCAGACTTCTATGAATGAACCGTATTCATTGTGACAAATGTGAAAAAGGTATGAATGAGTATCTTTACAATAAAAGAGATGTATTTGATTGGTTTCAATTATATCTTCAACAGAAATACATGATGAAGATATAATTGAAACCAGTCAAATACATCTTTTGTATTGTGAAGATATTTATTTTCATTCTTTTCTACTTTTATGAACCTCTTTTGAGCTGGTTTACATGGCTGCATTAGAAAAAAAATATGCAAATGAAAGTTCTCATGTCTAAAATACTGGAATTGTACAGCAATAACACAATGTAATAAAAATGCATACCTTAGATGTGTAAATTGCACCAAAACAAATCAAATTAATGTTTTCTTTTAAACCATAAATCTAATACTTGGAAAATATATATGTATAAGTAACCATTTAACATTCTTAAAATGTCTTGAAAAATACTCTGACTCCCATTACTATATCACAAACTATATATTAATAGTCTTGTCACAACCAAGGTCATTACTTTTGAATGCTCTTGTCACAACCTATGATGAAGACTGAAAACAACCAAACCATAATCCCTATGCCTGCACTATATAAGTACACAACCTGTAGCAATAAGGAGAAAAAGCCTTCTGATAACGTTAATGTGCAGTTCTATCTCTTGCAAATCAATTTTATTTATATTCTTCAAATTAAGCCTCAATTTCTTTACAAAATTCAGTCTATGAACACAGACTATTTTATTCTTGTCATGAAAATTCAGGCCTAAATGTCATGGTAGCAAGTATTCATGCCATGTGCACTCAGCCTGCTCTGTACTGTGTGCACTTGCACTGCCCTAGTTTCAATCACTGAGGATGGGCAGCCCCTCAAGTACAATCAAGTATGTTATCCTCATTTTCCTCACAGCCAAAATAATATAGTGTGTGTGTGTGTGTATATATATATATATATATATATATATATATATATATATATATATATATATATATATATATATATATATATATATATATATATATATATTTCTCTGACTGTGTTGATAGACACATTGATCAATGTGCCATGGGAAAAGAAGTCATCTTTGGTTTACATGTCATTCAATTAATACTTAACATGTGAAAAAATATCTACAGACTCAGTCCATTCCATAATTATAATCATAAGTACTGTCATATTATTTCATGTGAATAAAATCAAGAATAACTTGACATCCAATAGAATATATACTACCAGTATTAAAAATCAAAACTTAACAAAATACCATGAGATTTCACTCCTTTCCTTTTTTTCAAAATCTTGTTTTTACTATTTGGCTGACCTAGCACAGAATATGTTAGTATATAAGTTAAAATGCTGTCAACATATTTTTTCATAACCTGAGTCTGGTCTCATGAATATAATATACTGTTTACCTAAACTTCCCTAGATATTTCTATAATCATTAAATTAGTTTTCTAAATGAAATATCAGACTTTATCTCATATAAATACTGCACAGGGATTTCTAATCCTTACAAAAAATATCCTTTTCCATTTGGAAACATTGTCTCTCCATAATTACGCAACTCATAAATACACAAATAGAAACATCCATAGCACTTACTTTCACTCTGTCAAGGTGCAACTTCATCACCTTTTAGTTCCAAGCTTTTCTTTAAGCTCCCACCCAGTGTGTTGTATTCCAGCATCACCTAGGTCTATCTTAACTCTTTTTTTCCATTCCTCCTTGTATTTTGTATATGTGTACATGAAGCCTCCCACTGTGTTTAACACAATGCCTGTGAAGAAAACAAAAAGTTAGTCACTTATACCTAAGAACTCTCTGTATGGACACCATCAGATATCACATCACACACAAATCATATCACTATTTCCTAGCTCTCTCATCATGCAGGAATATATTAATATAAAAAGGTATGAGTACACAATCATATACACAGACATAGACAAAGATAAAGATATACACAGACATAGACAAATGCATATGCACACATGCATAGATGCAAGTGAGCGCACACACACACACACACACACACACACACACACACACACACACACACACACACACACACACACACACACACACACACACACACACACACACACACACACACACACACACACACACACACACACACACACACACACACACACACACACACACACTGCTGCATATACAGTATACATAAATATTAACCTACCAGTTAAATTAACAGGATCAAACACCACACCCCCAAAAACAAAAAAGCCAATAACTGTTTGGAGGACAGATTTGATAACACCAATAATAGAGGTAGTTAAGGCCGAGTTGAGCATTGTGCACAGGAACAGCGAGAAATTAAGCGAAAGGCCGAATACTAGTAGCACCAGCAAGATTATTAGGAATCTTGTATCTGCAAATACATCAGAGAATTGAGGAAATAATTAGTTTCTCTATATGTGTCCTTTAAGAATTTGCATATGTTTTGGTTTAATAAGTTTGATTTTATTCCACACAATCATGAAAAAGCCTTAATTCCTTAAAAGCTTACATTCTAAACACACTAGAATATAAATATCAAAATTGACTTGTCAGTATATAATCATCCAATTTCTAATACTTAATTAATTTATTTATTCATATTAAAAAAAATATATCACTTATTTCTCATTTGGTGAAACAGAAATTCTCCAGTTTACATTGCTTCTAAACACCACACATGACTTAGTTTTAACTGCTTTTTCTTATAAACATTAAAAACACATATGCTGAAAAATGGAGATATACTAATGAATCTGAAAGCCAAATCCTTCAGATCCAATCATTTGTTTCTTGACTTTTCTTTTCTTTAGCAAATTTTTGCAAGAACAATATCATACACTTAGAAATGGCCTTACCATTAAAATATTCAAATCTCAAAACTTTGTCCACCTCTCCAAAGGCAAATGTTAGGAGCATAAACGGAGTGAAGGAGATGCAGCTATTAAGATGAAGGATGTGCAGAGGAGAGAACTGATTCTCTCCACACTGTTGAACCAGTGTAAGGTATGCTGCTTGTGTCACAACACTTAAGCTTCCCATAGTATATGCAAACCCATCAAAACTTGGGTCAGAAAGCCCTGTGCAGAAATAAACATGAAGTGAAGTTATTATATGTATATTCTGTACAGTATATATATATAATGTATATACACTGTTCATACATACATTTGCACGTATATACATACACACATACAGAGACTAAGAGATTTGGAAGCAGAGTGAAAAAGAATGAAAATGAGAAAGAAACAGACAAAGACACAGAAAGACACAAAGACAGCGAGTGAGAGAGATTGTAAGTATACATACATAATTGCATATTACAAGTTGCCTGCAATATGCAGAGTATTTTCTGTATGAACATTCATTCCTGCCCAAGCAAACTGTATGATGCATTAATCTAAATCTAAATGAAACCAATATTGCTTCACCTTTTTTTACTACTCCTGGAGAAATCAGTATTCACTTTGGGTTAGAAGCCTCATAGCATCAGCACATATTTAATATAGGTAGATTTATTGTACACCAACTACGTCATTAAAAGTTCCAAAAACTGGATGGAGAGTAAAATTACCAACTTAAAGCAATACATTCACATTCTACAGTTGTATATCATTATCTATAAACAGTACAGCTTATCAATATTCTTTTCTACAGATGAATTGGTCACAATAGACTCATGTGTATGGAACTAAAACTTTGCATTATCACAAACCTACATTTCACTCATACTTACCAGCTATTAAACACCCAAATGTGATGGTGAAGACTGACATAATAAGTAGAGCTGATGGCAACGGCTTCTTAAGGTACACAACTGCCAATACCATGTTGACTAGTGGGGTGCATCTCTTTAAAGCTCCATACATTGGGATGTTCATACCTTGGGATGAGAGTTTTCATGAAGCATTTACAAAAACTGTAGTATATATATAAAATTTGATATTCAACTAATTATGAACACAGCTTTCTATACAATTACTTCTGTTTATCATAGGCATATCAATATATACCCAGTTTTAATACATCTCGATTTCAAAGCTGATATAAAAATCTTCTATCCACCAAATGATAAAAATGTATGCCTTTTGAGAAAAAAGTACACACACTGTTTAGAAAAAAACATACCTTCAAGCGCTAACAGAGACAATGTAGCATGCAAAGAGTAACACAAAGATGGTAAAAGGAAAACTTTTACAGATGCAGTTGTGAGTGGTGGCAAAGATACTTTTCCTAAGGCACGCAAAGCCTCAAGGACACACATTGTTAACAGCATCTGGGGAGAGAGCATCAAACTTTAGTCAGATCCAAGAAAAAGAGAAAGAAAAATTAGAAGATACAAAGGGAGAGAGGGAGGGATCAGTTTCTGCAATGATGTTTCTAAACATTTACCAGAGGAAGATGATATTTCACAACATGACTTTTCTAATCCAAAGAGAAATTCCCCTCAAAATGATAAAACACATTAGATAATGATGCAGTCTCAAATGGCTTAATCAGATCAGAACTGAAAATAGTGGAAAAAAACTCAAATACCTGTACTAGTATATTTACCTGACATGCCATAAGAAAGAATGGGTAATTAAATTTATATTGACTTATCACAGCTTTGTTGACAAATGCCATTGATAATGAGAGACTCCCATACAGCACCGCAGCTGCTACGGCAGTCGCCTGTGCTGCACTTGGCATTTTC